AAGCTGTACTGGTTTGGGCTTTGTGCTCCGGCATTGAGAGTAGAGGTCACAACATCCCAAGGACCAAATCTAGCAGGCCATCTGTTTTTGTAACATCTGCAAATCAAAAATTATTTTTACATTTCCAAGTGGTTGAAAAGTCAAAAGAATAATATTTCATGACCCATAAAAATTATATGAAATTCAAATTTCTTTGCCCATGAAGTATGAGAACACAGCCATACTTACTCATTTATGTATTCTTTATGGCTGTTTTCATGCCTCAGTAGCAGAGTTGAGTAGCTGTGACAACAGAGACTGTATGGCAAAGTCTAAAATATTTATTATTTGGCTCCTTAAAGAAAAAGTTTACCAACTCCTGATCTAGAGCTTTCTATTGCACCCTTACTTGTCCCTGAGGAATGGGCACAATATGGATCAGTGGCAGGTAACAATGTAGCATGTGGGCCACTTAAAAAAGTACCTTGATGTGAAGCACTCTGAAATTTCCTACTTCTTATCTTCAAGGAGAAAACAAAAATACCTTCTTCCTTGCATCCTGCCCTCATCTCCACCAACTATCCCCACCTCCAAGAGGAGAAAAGATAAAAGGACACACTACTTGCTCAATGGCCCTTCTTCATCAATCACAGGATTCCCCTGGAGTCCCTTCGTGTCTGGGCACCATCTTGCACCAGTAAACAGCACCAGGCCTGTAACACACATGCCCTCAGAGTCACCCCTTTAACTTCCATCACTGACCTCTTCCCTCCCAGGCTTGGATCTATGTGACCATATCAAGGAAGCTGAGGCAACGGACGCCATCATTCAGTCAGAGCCTTTTGAGAGTAGAGTGGGCTTTTATTTTTACTTATTTAACGAAATTGTTAGAAAACGTTTTCTTTTCAGAGGTGCTATTGTCTCAAGAGTACCAAGGAAAACTTCAGAGATAACTTGCCAGAATCGACGCATTTCTATTCTCTGTGACTCTGGGAAGGAGTATTGTCAGTCAGGTGTCCGTATCTTAAGGATACTCCAACAAATATTTTTTGGGAGCCTTCTATGCTCAAAGTGCCATGGTGGCTACATTTTCTTTTCTATGGAATGGACCATGTGGCCCTGCCTTGTACATGAGACTGAGCTTGGTGCCATCTTGTTGTGGGCGGTGTTTACAGAAGAAGGTTCACTGAGGCACCCTGCCCAAGTGGGAAACCCCCTCTCCCACCCACCTGCCATCTCATCCATGAGGTGGGAACATGGTGTGGAAGACCTTGACTCAAGTACAAACACCAAACCAAATGTTCCCCTGCATTATAAGGTATAAGTAGAACACTCTTCACTCTTTAAGTGTGAAATGTTGTAGAAATATTAACAGATATTGGGGGCACCTGGGTGGCTCAGATGGTTAAGCGTCTGACTCTTGATTTCAGCTTGGGTCATGATCTCACAGTTTGTGAGTTCAAGCCCCAGGTCAGGCTGTGCTTGTGGAGTCAGCTTGGGATTCTCTCTCTCCCCCTCTCTCTACCCATTCCTGGCTCATACTTCCTCTTTCTCTCTTTCAAAATAAATAAATAAACATTTAAAATAAAGAAATATTAGCAGATATTATCATAATAGATTTCTCACAAAGTGTTTGATTTCTTAGAACACTCTGTTAAGTTAGAGTTAGAGTAAGATACACCTAGAAACAGAATTTAAAAAGCAATCTGTTCAAAAATATGCAGTTGAATATGTATATAAAATATCTGTGAAAAGCAGTTCTTTTTTGTTTTGAATTTTTTCCCAAGTTGACATCAATTATAGCTTTCCTAGCTAAAATATTTAAAGATGCAGTTCATTCATTTATAATCCATTTAATTATGTGGCCCCCAAAAATAAAGAGTATAATTCGACTAGGCTGGTATTTTTTTTTAAGTTTTTAAATGCAAAGTATAAGTCCCATTTCACATACTGTGAAATTAAAGAAAATGATTGATAGATTTTTTTCTTCGTGATCACCTAACAGGGTTAGTATTAAATAGTTCTTTTTCTGCTGCCCAGGGATTTCAGCTAAAGTCCCATTCTCAAGAGAAATATACTGAAACATCCTCAGAATTACTACAGGGTAGTCAGACCAGTCCCATGGCCCTTCTGCCACCCTCCATCCACACCAAACAAGGGACAATTAGCAATTCTAAAAATAACTGAAAAGAGGAGCCAAGGAACACATCTGTGCGACTCATTGCAAGTGTTGAGGTGTTTTATCTGCCTTCTCCAAGTAAAGAGTGGAGATTGGAGAGAGAGAGAGCCCTTACCCCAAGCCACGTGCAGAAATCTCCAGTAGGAACCACTCTGGGAGACCCTAGAAGAGCCAAAAGAAAGTGGGGAAGCATGCACATGATGACCGCTACCTGCTTCCCCATGGAGAATTCTGGAGGCCACAGGCTGGGCCACATTATGACTTGTGGCCCAGGGAGTCTTCCCTTAATGGGTCCCTCCCACCATAATACTTTGAATACTATATAACTTTAAATTATAATGTATTTTTCCTGTTTTAGAAAAAAAAGTCAATAGGTTTTCAAAATGGTTTCTAAAAATCTTATTTTCTTCTGATGTGAGAAAAAATTAAAATATTTCTCCTGACTCTAAACCTACATACTTTCCTTCTTTTCTTTTAAGTGTTTATTCATTTTTGAGGGTGGGGGGGCAGAGGATCTGAAACTCTGAAGACGTGGGGCTTGAACCCGCAAATTGGTGGGTCATGATCTGAGCCAAAGTCCGAAGCTCAACTGACTGAGCCACTCAGGTGCCCCCATTCTTTTCCTTCTGATGAGGAACAATTAGAGCGTTTCTGTAGGACCCTGAAAGTGCCACGAGCTTGAGGCGATGTGCTTTCTGTGCCTAATGGACACATTCCTCTCTGGCCGCAGGGACCCAGGACAATGGGGAGGGGCTGCATTTACACTGACCCCCTTCTGTGTGGTGAGCCTGTGAGAAATGTCCCGTGAGACACAGTAGATATTTTAGGAGAAGCTGTGCGAACACAGGCTGTTGGTACAAAGCGACACAGTAAGAGACTGTGTTTGGAGACGAGTGTAGAAGAGAGTGATGCGGTTCCTGATTTGTAACCCCACGAAGCTTTGCTCGCTCAGTCAATCAGCTACAGTTACCAAGCGTGTCATCGGCAAAACTCGAAATGAGTCACCGGCCAGAACTTTCTACTTTTATCTGGGACATTTCAACCTTTTCAAAATTCTACATTCTGACTTTAGATTTCTGTGACCACATTGAGGCTTCTTGTCATAAACTGTGGGGGAGGGAGTATTTTATGTGTGGATTTGGAAAGATCTTAGAGATATAAAATAAAGTGAAAAGGTGAGGAACAGAATAATATACGCTGCCATTTGTGTTTAAGAAAAATGGTAAGGAAAGAATACACATGCATATAAGGCAAGAGGAGACGAGGGCCACCTGCTCCCTCCCCCCTCTCCCCCTTCCCCCTCACCCCCCCTTCAGTGCCTCATTGCTTCCTGACCCAGGGCTCCTACCAGTGATCCCTCTTCACATAAACACGGCTCTTCCTTCACCCCATCTGGTCCGATGCACTAACAGCTTTCAACTATTGCTAGTATCTGAGATCAGCATTGTTATTATTATTATCCTATCTAATAAATGAGGAGGCACAGGGCGCCTGGGTGGCTGAATTTGTTGAGCATCTGACTCTTGATTTCGACTCAGGTCATGACCTCGTGGTTTGTAGGATGGAGCCCCGCATGGGCCTGCACTGAGCCTGGTGGAGCCTGCTTGGGATTCTCTCTCTCTCCCTGTGCGCCCCCTTCCACTCGTGCTCACTGTCTCTTGCTCTACAAAAAACAACAACAACAACAAAAAAAAACAACAGTAAATGAGGAGGCACAGTGATGAAGCCAGGATTTAAGCCCACACATTTTCGCTGAAGCCCAGGCTCTTTTAAGTACAGCACAGTACTACTCACAGATACTAAATTAACACTCAAAACCTATATATTAAAATGATATGATAGATTCTATATGCTATAGGGAAAATCATATGGCACGAGGAGAGAAAATAACACAAAAGGTATTGTTTAGTTGGTGGGGACGGGAGGTGGAGTCGAGGCAAGGCTTTTCTGAAAAAGTAGCTTCTGAGCTGATGCTCACAAGAGGTTGGGTGTGAAAGAGGGTGGGATCTCAAGGCAAGCGCCTCTTTGGCCTGTACAGAATCTCTTAATGGAGGGAGTGAGCGAGCTCAGTGCGGCCAGAGGGAGGGTGGCTAGAGGAACATGGCTGGCCCACAGCATGAGGGGGAAGGGAAGCCATGGAGAAGCCTGGAAAAGTGACCTGGGCCACTCAGGGCCAGGTGGGCCAGGTGAAGGAGCTTGCCTCCTCTTGGAACTTCAGGAAGACCCTGGACAGAAGTCCTGTGCTCTGATTCAGGTTTTACGGGTCACCCTGACTGTAACATGACAGCAGAACTTGAGGTGGGAATGTGGACAGAAGAATGGACGTGGTGGAGGCTGAGAAGTAAGCAGTTTATTGTGGAAGGTCTGGTCAGGGGGGACGGAGACTTGGACCTGAGCACTGTCATGAGAACAGGAAGGAGTGGTCAGATTTCCGTATGTTTTAGAGGTAAAATCAGCAGACTTGACAGCAGGTGGAATGTGGGTGTGGGAGGACGTGTCCAAGGGCATTCCTGGCATTGTTGTACCAAACAGACTCAGTCAGCTGCCCAGCACCCTTTCTGGATTAAGAAAGATCAATCTCTGCCCGTCCTTCCCAAGAGCATAAGTACAGTTCCCAGGGTGGAAGACTGGATTTATTGTTAAGCGGAAAGGATACAAAGCGCCGTGTTAATACCACCACATTATGGAATGAGTGGATTCTGTGGGCCAGTGAGGCTGTCATCATTACTTATAATATTTTCTGTGCATAAATCAATTTGCACCCAGCTTAGAAATGAGCCTACTGACATAACCTATGTATAAGCTTTATAAAGAAGCTTGACATCTCATTTGTGTTTCCCAGGCCTGTCAGGGAGTTCTCCATGCCAAGAGGAGCCAACACGTTTTGTTACTGTACAAAGGCCAACGTGATTGTCACCGGAGGTAAGGGCATCGTTCATATTGTACAGATTTTCTGCTTGGCAAACAGCATTCTCCTTGATTAACATAGTGGTCTTCATAAAGCTACAGAATTTTACTCCTAGGAAAACCTTTTAGAGAATTAAAGAATTCACATAAATCTGTCAGACTTTTCCTTTGGGCCTTCTGGATTTGATGGCACACTTAGAAAGTTCTTCCCCAGCACCAGAATATGAGATATACACTCTCCTGTATTTACTATAATTTTTATTGCTTTATTTATATTTTCCCTTCAGATCTTTAATCTCTCTAGAAGTTATGTCATCAGGTGAGAGCATGAGTTCCTTGACTGGGCCCCCATATGGGCTTTAAAGGAGTTTGGGAGGTCCCTGAAGGCTAATGACACTTGTGGGTCTATGTGCATTTTTCTGGAAAGATAGTTCCAAGTTTTATCAAATCTTCAGTGGGATCCATGACCAAAAATGGGATCCATGGCCAGTGTTTTTTATTTTATTATTTATATTTTTATAGTTTATTGTCAAGTTGGTTTCCATATAACACCCAGTGCTCATCCCAACAAGGGCCAGTGTTTTAGAGTTAGCAGAGAAGAGGCCAAGGAGCAAGTCTTGAAACACACTAGCATTTAAGGGTTGAGTAATGTGGAATATAGGATACAAGATCATCTGTGGAGAGTAAGGGAAAGATGATGTTATAAGAAGCTTGAAGGGAAAGGTGGAGGATGAAAAGGTTCCTTGAGCCTCAGACTCATCATCTATTATAATCCTGGGGTGCAGGAGCATGGCTTTGAGACTGAGCTCTGGAGCCAGACCTTTTGGTTGCAAATCCTGGTTATTTTTCCAGCAAGCTGTGTGGCCTTGGGCAGTTTATTTCATTCCTTTAAGCTTCCATCTACTCAAAAATAAGACTGATAATAAGTAAGATGATACCTACTCCCAAGATGATTATAAGAATTCAAATTCAAATAAAGTACTTAGCACATAATAAATGCTCAATACAAATCTGCCAGTAATAATACTAACAACAGCAAAACCCCACATACTTCAAATGGTGGTGGTTAAGATTAACTGAGATAATGTATGCCTGGCACATAGTCGCTTTTCAATAAATATTAATTCAATCCGTCTACAACATGTAGGCAGTCATTTTGGCAAATGACCTTGGACGTTCCAGTTAGGAGGCTGTCCCAGAAGTCATGAGTGAGGTGGTGAGGGTCTGAATTATTGTAGGTGCAATAGAAAAAGAAAAGAGAGAGCCAATCCCAGAGGCACAGGAAAGAAACTAGTCCTAAAACCTGAAGGGAGAATGACTTGGATTAACAAGAAGGATCAACCAGCTCCAAGTTCGTAAAGTAGGAGAAATAGAGGAGCAACATCTGTATTGTTAGCAGAGATCAGGAAGAGGGTGCTTACCTGGGAAGGAGAGCAAGCAGATCTCAAGCTTGGACTTAAATGTCACATATGATTAGACACCAAAGAGGATGTTCTTTTTGGTGATGAAAAAAGACCTGGTTAGATGTACGGGATGTGGGGGCCCCAGGCTGCCTTCCATGTGGGAAGAGCTCCTGGGGCACCTCAGGGAGATCGGAGTCACCTACAGAAAGGTCACATAGACTTGATAGATGTAAATGAACAAAACAGAAATGCAAACAAACAGCAGGAAACTGGCCCATACTGAAGATCTGAACTTTATAAAGGGAAAGAGCAAACGAGTTTTTTTAAGAGGAAAGCTCTATCATCTAAAAGATCAACAAATGTACCATTTGGTAAATTCTTAGGGCAAAAATACTTATTAAAAGAGCAAGAATGTTCAGTGAGTAATGCTACTGGCTCCTTCAAATTCCTCGCCCAACACACACACACCTTTGTTTTTCTATCAAGCGTATCCTGCCTCAGGGCATCTGGGTGGCTCCCACAGTTGAGTATCTGACTTCAGCTCAGGTCATGATCTTGCAATTTGTGGGTTCGAGCCCCATATCAGGCTCTGTGCTGACAGCTTGGAGCCAGGAACCTGCTTTGGATTCTCTCTCTCTACTGCTTCCCCAGTCACATTCTGTCTCTCTCTCTCAAAAATAAATAAACATTAAAAATTAAAAAAAAAAAAGTATCCTGCCTCAGCCCTGAAGTACAATATTGCTAAGTATAGTCCACCCTTCAACAATGTATTTCTAGACCCCCTGCAGTAGAAAATCTGTGTGTAACTCTTGACTCCCACAAAAGGTAGCTACTAATAGCCCATAGTTGATTAATATGTATTTTGTATGTTCTGTGTATTATATACTGTATTCTTACAATAAAGTAAGCTAGAGAGAAGAAAATGTTATTAAGAAAGCCATAAAGAAGAAAAAATACATTTACAATTCTACAGTGTATTTATGAAAAGAAAAATCCATGTATAGGTAGACGTACACAGTTCAAACCTGTGTTGTTCAAGGGTCAATTGTGTGAAGATAGTCACACTCTCTATGCACACCTAGACAGTCTCCTCTGAGGACATAAAGCTAAAGTTTTTTCATGTTTATATTTGAAGTTCTTACTGCAATTCGTGCTCCGCTTTGGGCCTTCCACAACACTTACTTAAAACTAGTTTCTGGTTCGAATGTTATTTTTAAAGAATTATATAGTAGTGTATTGAAGAGCAAAACAAGTAAAAATAATACATTAGATGTTAGAAGAGTTGGTTTTAAAAATAGCCTGGACACTAACCAACTGTGTAATTTTCAACAGTCACGTAATCTCTCCTGTTGCTCACTTTCCTTACCTGGTAAACTGAGGAAGTTGGACCACATTGATTCCAAGATCCCCTTGAGCTTAAAATACCCTGATTCTATAGTTTAAAGAAACTCTGTTCATAGGGAGTTAAATTAAAATGTCCTTTGGAGAATTAGGAACCCAGTTACCCAATATATAATCAGAGCTTCATGTACTCAGAAAACTGAGGCATTAATGGGCCACAGACTTCTAAATTTCAAGCAAAGACATCAAGAAAGCAAAGCATATGGATTAGGAGTCTACATAGCATGTGAGAGTCCTGGCTTGCACAGGGAGCGAGTTTCCTGATGCTTGGTGGTGATGATTCTCAGAACAAACAGGGATCCAAGCCTTTAAACTGTGCTAACTGAGGTTATCTTTTTTTTTTTAATTTATTTTTTATTTTGGAAGAGACAAATATAGTGTGAGCAGGGGAGGGGCAGAGAAAGAGGAAGAGAGAGAATCACACACAGGCTCTGCGCTGTGAGCACAGAGCCCTGCATGGGGTTCAAACTCACGATCAGTGAGATTCTGACCTGAACTGAAACCAAGAATCAGATACTTAACCGACTGAGCCACCCAGGTGCCCTGAGGTTATCCTTTAAAGAGCGTCGCGCTGAAGTCTAGAACACATAAGGGAATAAATACTAAGACTACATGTTTTCAAAAAAAGAAGTGGTGTGCTTGGATCACAATTTCTTGACCCCCATTGCCCTTTGCTGATCCAGGGACTTTCTTGGCTTATTCCTTGCGAGGGAAATAACCCTGACCACTCATCAGAAGGAGGCGGGGATGCTCCAGGGATGAGAGCAAGAGCACAGTGGTCCTGAGAGAGAGTAGAACCGCAGTGGACACTGTCCCCAGCATGGCGTTTCTTGAGTTTGGTGAAAATACTGTGTCCTCTATCCTACTTCAACTCAGACCCTCCTCAGGAAACCCTATGAGAAAGCAAAATGGCACAGCTATAGTGAGCTCTGATTTCTAAATTCTGATGCTTCTAAAAGACAAGCTTTCACATCCGTCTTAACCAACCCTTTTGAACAGCCCTTTGTTCTCACACAAAAGAATTCAAAATGTAGGAATTGACCAGCCTTCATATATTTTGTAATCAGTGTTTTAATAATTTCTGGGAAAAACTAAACTAAACATGTGTTTGGTAAAGTTCTGGGACTCAATCCACTTCAGTGTTTATGGATTAAGGTATCTGACTTTCATTAACCTCGGTGGTCCTTATATTATAAGATGCTCAGCTACAACTTGGAAATCTTATTAATTATAGGTTTTCTAGCTCTCTTACAAAACCAAAACATCTAGCAGTGTGACTGACAGGCAACTAATACTTTTCACCATGCAAGATTTATTAAATTGTCACAGTTTCAGAGCTTCTATTAGTAGAAAATGCAATTCCTCAACAACTAAAAACACGTTTTCCTCAGGAGAATACTCTTGTTGATTAGTGACTCAGCCAAGCACATTGCTAAATGTACTGTATGTACCAGCTGATGACTCAAAATATACTATGAAAGAAGCTTTGCTGGGCATAGTCGAATGTGTGAAATATGCAGGGACATTTGATGAGCTTGAAAAAATAGAAGCTCTCGCTGGGAGATAAAGAAAGCCAAACCAGGACAAGGTATTTACAAAAGCAAAACAAAACAAAACAAAAAAAAATTGCAGACTTTATGAGCATTGTTGTAGTGACCGCGAAGAATTTTTTTAGAGCTGATATCTGTCTCTCTTGGCATTTTAAGAGCTAAACTCCTACTTTGCAAAGTCTAGTATATAAAAGCAATTCTCTGCCATCCAAGATAACTTGGGGGCTCTAATGGACTTGTTAATATTCATTCAACAAACATTTCTTGTGTAGTTGCTACAGACTAGGCATTATATGTCATAGAGATCAGACTGTATTTTAACCTTCTAGAATTCTAAATTTAATAGTACAAATAAGACGTGTTAATACACAGCTATAATACAGCATGGAATGTGAGTCTACAGATTAATGATTGTAACAATTACAAGACAGATTAAGCACGGTAGGCATTTAGAGTTTGGCATCATGTCCCTTTCTGATCACTCTGGCTCCAAATAGCCACCCCACAGACCATGTAAGGATTCCATTACTATCAACAAAAAACACACTGAACTGGAAGACTCTGGCAGCAGACAATGGGAAGCCTCTGTAAGACTGGGTTTCCTTCATAATGCACACTGGACAAAGCTCTTCATTTGCCACACTTCTCAAGTTGTAATCTT